AAAAAAAAAAAAAAGATACTGAGTTAATAGGCTCGAAGCTGTCCCTGTTTGGCAGTTTACCTTGCTGTGTACATACGTACATACACACATCCAAACCTAATTGGATTTCTTTTAAAACAAAGCATAATAAAATTTGACCCATCTGAGAAGGGCTCCTATAGCCTTGTATCTTGGAAAATGTGTATGTTTAAGCCTGATAATGTCCTTGAGAAAGGTGGTATTCTGGAAAGACCACAGACATTGAAGTCATTTGGGCTCAAATTTTGGCCGCACCACTTCTGATTGTGTAACCCTGAGCAAGGTAGATCTCTGAGCATCAGGATTCCCTCTTAATGTTTTTTATTTCAACTCTCCATCTAGTTAAAATTTTGCCACCCCAAGAATACCTACTTTTTCCTTAGGGCTAGTTATGTGCCAGGTACTGTGTTAGGAGTCTTACATGCATTATTGCCCATTCCTGCCAGAAAGATATCTTTACTTTCATTTTCCAGATGAGATAAGATGGCAGGGTAAAATAATCCTGGTCTGGGAGGAAGAGCATGGGCTGATTTCTGATTTTGGTTCTGCCATTTTTTTTTTTCCATGAGACGGTGTCTTGTTCTGTTGCCCAGGCTGGAGTGCAGTGGCCGGATCTCAGCTCACTGCAAGCTCCGCCTCCCGGGTTTACGCCATTCTCCTGCCTCAGCCTCCGGTGTAGCTGGGACTACAGGCGCCTGCCACCACGCCCGGCTAATTTTTTTTGTATTTTTAGTAGAGACGGGGGTTTCACTGTGTTAGCAAGGATGGTCTCAATCTCCTGACCTCGTGATCTGCCCGTCTCGGCCTCCCAAAGTGCTGGGATTACAGGCATCAGCCACCGCGCCTGGCGGGTTCTGCCATTTTAACGGCAAGCCGTTTAACAGCTCTAAGTCTGTGATGTGTAGTTTAAGGGTTTTAAATGAGACAACACAATTAAAGCATCAATCAAGGTGCCTGACTCATAGAAGGTGTGAGTTTTCCTTTATGAAAATTATAAAGTTAGAGATTTATGATTGGAATGCAGTATTGTGATGGCAGCGGTGGCCTGTCTGGAGCCTCTGCTGGGAAGATGCCAGCTGCAGTGGGGGAGGCACAGTCAGGGCTGTGTGCTCCATGGAGCTGGCAGGAGCAGGGAATAAGTGGGAGCCCTGCCCTCCCAGGCACAGCTGCAGCTGCCCAGCCACAGCTGCAGACCTGGGCATCCCTGCGCTCACAGGGTCCTGGGAAGCCCAGGACCCAGGTCCAAGGAAGCCCATGAGCTTGGAAGTGCCTGTTCCTGCTGCCTGACCTGTCTGTGCTCCTGGTGTCCACTCCAATTTCAGAGCAAAGTTGAGGCTGAGCCTGGGTTCTATTGAGACCTGATCGAGTGTGCGCACGCTTGGGGCGGTGCTGACGCACCAGCCCCCTGCAGCCTCAGCCCCCTCTGGACTTTGGGTGCCAAGAAGCAAGAGAGGGAGGCCAAACAGGGGAGGAGGGCAGTTGGGTGCAGGTCTGTAGATGCCCCTTTGCACCAACAGCCTGGGCACTGTGGACAAAATGGTTGATGGCCATAAGAGGCAGACAGGCTCCTGGGTGGAAAGGGGTGGGTCCCTGGTGAAGCCCCACCTTCAAGCCAGGGATGGCCTGAAGCCTGAGGGCCAAGCTGTCAGTTCGGGCTGGACTCTATGGCCCAGAGTAAGAACTTGTGGTGTTTTTTCCGGGCCTGCCTGTGACCGCCCATGGACCAATCAGCACACACTTTTTCTCTTTTGAAACCCATAAAAACCCTGGACTGAGACTCTGGCAGATGTCAGACAACCTGCTGCAGAAAGGTGCTATCTGCTCCGGGTCTCCTAAGGGCTACAGACTTGATGGGTGCCGGGTCCAACCTGCAGACTGCGACCCCAGTGATGGATGAAAAAATGCACTCTGACACAGATACCCAGTGAAAGAGCGGGCTAGGGGACTGGGCTGCCTGCAGAAAGAGTTGTAGCAGCCTCGGCCCTGAAAAGCTGGTGCTGCAGGCAACTATTTAGTACAGATGTAATGACAAAGGCCTCAGTCAGCACACTTGTGGGTAATTAACATGGTC